GATCCACCCTGACCCTTGGGCTTTCTGCTCTCTGGACATGTTTCTGCCTTCTGCAGACTTTGAGCGGGCTCAGGCTTGCCAATAGATCCAAATCGCTCGTGTTACCTCAGAGTTTATCACACTGTCAGTCTCTCACTCACCAATTTTAATACCACTCCTTTTCTATTTGCCTGCAGATCATTGATAAAAACATGGACAGCTGTCAGACTCAGTCCCGGGGCGGGTAGAACTGTCCCCTTCCTACCTGCTCCGTGATGGTTTCCCATTGACAGCCCTGTCTGAGATCCGTTTCTCAGGCTGTTCTTAATCCATTTAAGATGTGCTTTACTGGTATTCTGCGGTACTACCTTCTTCATCAGAATGACATGCAAAACTAAGTTAACTGCATCAGAAACCCTAAGTCTATTACATTCACTTAGTCACTTTTGTCAAGCGACTTGTAATCCTTTTAAAGAATGAAATGAGGTCTGTTTGACAAGATTTATACAATGGTTTCGGTGCATATTAATATGTAGCTCTTCTTAATTTTTTATGAAGTGAATCCAATGTCAGCTCTATTGCATGCGTGTATGAACGTGAGTGGCTGCCTGTGGCAGTGTCTATCTAACAGTACTTTACAGCATCTTTTGTGACCAAGACTGGTCACCTATACAAACCACAACATGTTTTGTTTGCCTGTATTTATTTTAAGAAAGCTACAGCTGCAAATCACCCATAATTGCATTGCCTTCACTTGAGCTATGGAAGGCATCAGTGTATCTGGCACCACAGTGTGCTGGAGTAACTGCCTCTGAAAATATTCTCCCAGTTTTAAAAATGTCCATGATGAGGAAGGTCATCTAATTTTAAAAGCATTTAAAATCCTTTTGTTTTGCATTGACCTCTTAAAAATGCCAAATCACAACTGTATTCAGTATTAGAACAATCCTTTTGTCTGTCTTTTTAATGTGTTTCACATCTTTTTTTCATAGAAAGAAGATCAAATTCAGTCTTCACAATGTGTGTTGCTCTGTGTAAGTTGGTGTGTAGCACCCATACTGGTAGTTGAGAGGTGTAATAGGAAAGTTTAGCAATTGGATAAGGAGAGGGAATAGTGATGTCTAAACAGGATCAATAGTGTTAATTCTGGAAAAGATTTTCAGAATTGCTTGTGTGATTTAGCAGCCTTAGTTCTGTTTTCTGAAACAGGATTGACATGTAAGGAGCTATTCAATAGACATGTTTTCTCTGAAAATTAAGTATCAAATGCTTAAACAAATGGACTCTGAGGTTGGGGGCAGTTGGTGTTCACAAAGGGTACCTCTAAGGCAGGAGACTGATTTTCCCTCTGGAGTCTGAAGCAAGGAGGGTTTAGTGGAGGACGAATCAGAGCACACACCTAAAGTATACGATTTAGATTCCTGAAACTTCACATCACACCTTAACTTCCTATGTGGTGATTCTGTCCTTCCCATTGACAACACCATGTGTGTGTCACCCCCACAAACACAGCGGTGCTGCGATCATGTCAACCATTTCTGAGGACAAGTCGTCACTGGTCAGCGCTGTAGCTGTGCCCAGCTACGTATTAGTGAGATGGAGCAACCACGAGCCAGGCGATGCCCCGGTGCCCTGGGACAGATCTTCTGTCCATGTTCACCCCTGGGCAAGTGCCTCCTGGCCCATCGCGGGGGACATCAGCTCTGCAGGGTCCCTCCCGGCACAGCCACAACCTGCCCACCTCCAGCTGGGATGGACTCCTGAATTGATGCTGCTTAGATTAAAGAGGGTTTAACCTGACGTTTGGTCTCCTCCCTTGCTGGAAGAGCAAGTTGTGTGACACTAGGAGAGGAGACCATCTCCACGCTCATCACTTGCCGTGTGTCTTCCCCATCCCCCTCCAGCCACTCCCGACTGCCGGGAATGAGACCAAACGATGCATCTGTTCCAACTCGAAAGTGGTTCGTGTTGCCATTAGCCACGTTCAGCCCCAAATTGAAGCTGGCAAGCAGCTGGCATGCTCAGAGCTAGTTTGCTTGCAGACGTATGTGTTTGGACGGGAAACGCTGCCGCCTTTGAAATATGATTCTTAGAAAAGGGAAAGAAGGTAATTCCCCACCTCAATAAGAAAAAGGCTCATCTCGCTCCTGGAAAGTGAGCGATGGATGGCAGTGTCCTGCGTGGCAACCTGCCTGATCTCTTATACCCCCTTTTTTTTTTTTTCTGTAAAATGATCAGGCTACAGGGAGTTAAAAGGTATCAGTTCAATTAAAGCAATAATCTCCACTCAGCCTCACTGCAATCGAAGAGGAGGCTCTGCTGCCTTCTGCGTCTTCATTATGACAGCGAATCGCTCGCAGTTACTGACTCCTTATTTGAAAGTCACAAATCTGGAACGTGTGGTTAAGCAGCGCTCTCCGGTTCTTGCTATTTAACTTTCTTTAAAAAATGTTGAAACTGTTAAAGGATTTGAATATGTTGTGAGAGAGCTCGCTTTTTTACTTCCTTTATGCATTGAAGAGGAAAAGCTGTACAATGTGTGGTCTCAGTTCAGGTACACAGGGAAGTGCTCGCTGCTTTTCGCCAGGTCTCTGAAGAAAGGTGTGCTTTGGACCCCAGCTGCAGGTGCATCCTATGGCTTGAGCTGAGGTTGCAGAGGTAGCCAGATGGGATGTTAGTGAGAAAACCACTTGCATCCACTGAGGGCAGATTTTTTGTCTGTCTATCAGTCTTTCACAGAAATCCATTGTGGCAGGATTTACTTGCATATACCCACCAGTCCCTGCTAGGCTTCTGCCCGCTTTCCTTCTTGGTCCATCACCAGTGAGTGATGGGGTTAGAAGAACAGATTTGTTGGCATGAAGTCCACTAGTTCAAATTCAGAGTATGTTGATATGACCAAGAGGGGAAAATGACCTTTGGCAGATCTTTCCATCAAAACAGACCTTTTATCTGCACACCAGTTCTGCCCGTCAAGGACAATTAGACAAAGAAACGCTGTGGGAGCCGACACAGAAATGGGAGCCTGAACTGCAGTTGGATTTAGATGGAAGTTGGTGTTATGCTGCCATGACTTTATCAAAGTACTGACAGTGAAACAAATTTTTCTGCAGTTAGATAAACATCAGCACGTCTGTGGAACTGCATATGCTGGGACTTCAACTGTCATCAGTTGTTTTGGGCCAGTTTCACCACTGTGGCTAGCAGTCTAGTCTAGTCCTACAGTTTCTCAGACTTGTGGGTTTATGTCTCTCAAAGTGAGCGTATGAAATATCTGTCACTGCTCAATGTGGCATGCGAGAAACAGTAAAAAAATCCCACCATTTCTTGGGATGGGAGTTGCATGCGTTGCTCTTAATCCTGCTTTGGCTAGACTGGCACAGTTACGTTTAAAAATCTGCAAGCAACATATTATGTGCTGCAGAAAGTGCTCGTTTGCTTTCCACTCAGGATGTTCAGTCTCAGAGAGGATGTGGTGTAGCGTGGGATGGGGGGAAAGCGGGATGATCTGCTGCTGAAACGAGCATCTGGGCAGGAGTTACGATTCCTGGCACAGACACGGGGCTCTATGGACATACTGTCCACGTTTCCTCTATATACTGGGAATATTCTTTCCCAGAATAGAGATGTGATCGGATTGGAACAAGGGATATGTAGCTACTTGGAGTAAGTAATTTTAGAGATGTCAGTAAAAAAAGCACTTTGTGAACATACCTTCTAATTATACTTCTCTTAGTTACACGTGTTTAAATACTGTCTTTGCTGTGCTGGCAACCAGTGTTTATCTTTTCAGCATGCTAATATCACCCCAGTCAAAGATCCTCATTTGCAAGACACAGGCCCATTAACGATCTTCCCTAAGACGCTCTGTCTATCAGGCAAGCCTTTGTAGGCAGCCCGTGTAAGGAGAAATGTGGAGAGAGCCTTGGATTAGGTCAGCAACTCTCAGCCGAACTAGATCAGGTTGCTCAGAGCCCCGTCCAACCTGACATTGAATGTTTCCAGGGATGGGGCATCTGCCACCTTTCTGGGGAACCTATTACAGTATTTCACCACCCTCATTGTAAAAAATTGCTTCCTTATATCTAGTCTGAATCTCCCTTCTTTCAGTTTAAAACCATTGCCCCTTGTCCTATCACTACAAGCATGACTAAAATGTCTGTCCTCATCTTTCTTAGAAGCCCCCTTTAAGTACTGAAAGGCCACAATAAGGTCTCCCTGGAGCCTTCTCTTCTCCAGGCTGAACAATCCCAAGTCTCAGCCTTTCTTCATAGGAGAGGTGTTCCATCCTTCTGATCATTTTTCTGGCCCTCCTCTGGACCCACTCCAACAGATCCATGTCTCTTCTGTACTGAGGACCCCAGAGCTGGATGCTCTGGAGTGCTCCAGGTGGGAGTCTAACCAGAGTGGAGTACAGGAGCAGAATCACCTCCCTCGACCTGCTGGCCACACTTCTTTTGATGCAGCCCAGGATATCGTTGGCTTTCTGGGCTGTGAGTGCATGTTCATAGAACCATAGAATAGATTGAATAGTTGTATTACAGTCAGCGTGCCGCTGTGCGCTCTTCGTAGCTACTGTACAGGTGGGTGATATGAGTCTGCCCTGGCTCTCAGGTGCTGGTGATTTTAATTGAGTTCAAGATGTAAGAGGTGAGTGAGCAAGGGCGAGGAGAACTGTATTTCAAGTCCTCATTTTCACAAATTGCTTTTGGACACAGTCTGTGGGTAGAGATTTCATTTTAAAATCTCGTTTTGCCAATGGAGACAAGCTGCAAATCAGGAGCTGTTGTCTGAGATTTGGTTTCAAGCGCTGCCATGTTGGTGAAACATCAGGCACTGGTGGACATCTCAATTTTGCAGCTGATGTTGGGATTCAGCTGTTGTGTTCCTGGCACTGGGGCATTACTGGTTTGTTCCCTTTAGTCACAGTTCACTCTTAATTAATTAAGCAGAAAAAAATTAATGGAAATTAATAAGGATTATTTTCTCTGTTTGTATGTTGAAAACGCTTGTCTCCCCAGCTTTCTCCTGTGCCTCTGGTGAGTACCTGGAGATGAAGAACCAGGTGTGCAGCAAATGTGCAGAAGGGACCTACTCGCTGGGCAGCGGGATCAAGTTTGATGAGTGGGATGAGCTGCCAGCAGGATTCTCCAATGTCGCAACTTTCATGGACACGGCGGTTGGCTCGGCTGAGAATAAAGCTGACAGCTGCAACAAGTAAGAAGTTCTGTTTGCATCTGGATTATGTAGCCATGGGTGAACCTGAGACAGCTCTGCAGCACAAAACCAGCTTAATGGCTCACCTAAGCTCTCCAGAGGGTGACCAGCCCTATTAATGGCAAACAACAGTGGCTGGAAAGTGGAATTTTGAGCCATCTCTTTGCTGTCATCATGGTCTCCTTGGGCTCATCAGTAGCTACTGAGTCCAAGACCAGCCTGTGCATGGCCCTTATTACTGGAAAGCTCCAGTGTCATGGTATAGCAAATATGGCTAAAAGGTACTTTCACAGCCTATTTAGAGTCCCACGGTGACTGCAGAAAGCTGTTTCTGAGTATAATTGAAAGTGCGTTGGATCTATGGATAATAAACCTTTCCTTTGTAGGTTGGGTCCTAAACTTCTAGTACCATATCTTTTCGCATGCACAGTTTTAATGAAAAGTATTATTTTTACGTGAAAAATAAATGGGAATCCAGTAATAAATCCAGTTATAAATTCACTGCAGTTAGCTGTTGTGGGATTCTGGGTTCGTTACTGAGTAGCATGTTTTTGTGTAGTAGTAGTGTAAGAAAAGTCTCCTCAGTGCCTGTGATCTCAGCTGAGGCTTGTTTTGTTTATGTTCATCAGCTCTTCATGGACGCCTCGAGGGAATTACATAGAGTCCAACAGGGATGATTGTACAGTTTCTCTCATCTACGCTGTGCACCTGAAGAAATCCGGCTCTGTCTTCTTCGAATACCAGTATATTGACAACAACATCTTCTTTGAATTTTTTGTAAGGCCTTTTATATGATGAATCCAACCTTATATTGTAAGAATTCAACCCAGATAAACATGATCAGAAACAGCTTTTTCCTTCCTTTACTTTCCCCATATGTCTGTAGCTTGTTACTGCTGAACAAGATAACGAAAATCTTCTCTCTCTGACACTTATGCTGCTTTTGGAATTTATTTCAGCTTCAAAACTCAGGCTAAACTGATCCTGTCTGCCATATACTGGGATTTTTCCATTAGGGGCCATGGCTGCCCATGTTAGTCCAACCATTTGCAAGGCAACTGTTGGTGATAGATGTTTCAGTTTGGGGATGGTTGACTTGAGATGCCTTTGAAGGGTCTTAAAGTTTAAATTACAAAGAAAGTCTTGTATGTAAGACTTCTTACAAAGAAGGCATCCAGAACCTGATGTTCTCCAAGGCATTAGTATGTGGAAACCTTAGCTTTAGTTTTAGGTCAATTTGAGTCTTAGCAATTAAGAAGAAAAGCAAAGCAGAAGAGACAGAAGGGTGATCCTTAAAAAAAAAGCCAGAAACAACGGTTGTCCAGAGAGATTTAGGAAGAAAAATACAGATGACTTTCAGTAGGAATTAGGCTCTAAGGATGAGCCTGCACTGTGAAATGAAGGTGCTGGGGTCATCAGCTCTGAAATGGGAGCTTGCACCACGCTGTATCCAAATTACGAATTAAAGCTGGGCTTGCACCACGCTGTATCCAAATTACTAAACCAATCTGATCAGCAGGGACCCGAACGGGAAAGGCGGCCCAGCTCTGCCCACGTGGATGGACTGTTTGGCCTCTGGGTTTCCAGCACCGGACTCCACAGCATGGTACAGATGATCCACGTTACTGAGATGCTTTGAAAGGTTTCACTGACAGGTTGCTTTCCCTGGCATGTTGTACCTGGCGTTTGAGACAGAAAAAAACTTAATGAGAGGGCTGCTCAGAGCAGTAGATGACTGGAATTTTTCAGTGTCCTCTGTTACTGCCTCTCTCCCTGCCTGGTGAGCTCTGATTTTAATCTGAAAAACACAGCTCATGGTATCTCACACTGGTGTTGGTTAATGTTCCTCGAAGCTCAGAGAAAAGCGTGAAGAATCCTTATTCTTAGTAAAGATGGGAAAGGATGACAAAAGTAACCTACTGAAGGCACCCTCTTGCTGCTCCGTGGGTGCAATCTCTTGCACTTCGATATCAGATAGTGCAGGCGATGTTATTTGGCCATTTCACTTCTATATCAGAGTATCCTGCCTTCTTCATGGGGAGAAAGCAGCAAATATGCTTTCTGCTGTCAGGTGAGTGTACCAGGATGATGAATCCTAGCGCCAGTTTCCTTGACTGACTGACTGACTGATCTATTCCTGCAATGGAGCAAATATATTGTTTCTTTGAACACTGGATTTGAAAATGGCTTTTTGAATATTACTTTTGCCCATATCCCACTCATTCACTTCCTTTAATTTATCACTCTCTGTTCAAGAAGCGGTGAGTGGTGCAGTCCTTTATAGAAATGCTCCCATAAATAATTCCTAGTCAGCCTTAGTATTTCAGGGAAAGCGTATTTAACACTCCTCTGAAAGTCTATTTTTTCTTCTCCAGCATGCCTTTGTGCTTACATATATTTAAAAATGACACTTTAGCTCTGGAGAGTGGCAGTTCAGTGGCAGTGGCTTGCAGGCTGCTGGGAAATGGTGAAGCTTTTGGGCTCTCCAGGCACAGGTGGCTGCACTGCCAGTCTGAGGGTAAGTGAGGAGATGTCCTCAAATGTGGGAAGCAAGCGTGGACACTTCTTGTTAGATAGCCAGTGCTTCAGCAGCTCTTTACTTATTGAAGCCCTTTATGCCTTGTGAGAAGAGACTATATATTCTTATCTCCATTTTACGGATGGGAACCCAGGCACAGAGATGCTGTAGCTCACATTGTGCAAGATAATTAAGGATCTCCTTCTACTGAGGTGCTTCTTCTCACTTCTTTTCCTCAGTGCTGTCGATCTAGGTGGGAATTAAGTGCACAGATGCTTTGAAGGATGTCGAGTTAAGCGACTTATTTCAGACTTGATGTGGAGCAGCTTAGAGAAGGAGGCTTGACCCAGGTCTTCTGAAAGTGTTGAACTGTCCTTTCTCCCTGGTGGAATAAAGGCTGAGTATGAACTGGTACCTAAAAGGGACTTGGTACTTTTTCTTCAGAGAAGAGAACACAGCTATGAAAAGAAAGCAGTGGACCGCTTTGAGGCCATGCACCAAACCTTACTGCAAGGAAAGACCGCTGAGCTGTGCTGGACCTGGGCAAGGGACAATTATCCTCACACCTCTGCCAGGGCAGACTCTCCATAACATGTTGCCTCTCCCTTGATAACGTTACTCTCATGCCTAGTGAGGTCAGGTGACAGGGAGCCAAAGCCATAGCAGATATTGGCTGCAGAGAAGGCAGTTTACCTTCTAGCTTTGACCTGTCCACTTCTACCTCCCGTCTGACTTAGAAGTCCATGGCCTCTGGGTTTTGACGTCTTTTTTGGGTTTTTTTTTGCCTCTGGATCTTGATGGGCTCTAGAGAAGGAGGCAGCCAAGACAAGATGCTCAGCGTCTGAGCCTGAACAGATAGTGAGAGGACAAGGCTGAGATCTTCTCCTTCTGCTCTTTTTCTCCATCTGCATCAGAGGTGGTCATTGGAGGCACTGTTAAGCTGCTAGCAGGTTTTGAAAGTTTTGGTTATTTTTTTTTTTTCCCATGAATAAGGCAGCTGCTGTCCTAAATATGTAGACAACAGGAATCATTATCATTCCCTGCCAGCAGTCATTATGCTGACAGAGACATGCATCTGATTGTGGTCACTGATCTTGTGCTTTTAATTAACAGATACAGAATGACCAGTGCAAAGAGATGGAGTCCACGGCAGACAAGTGGGTGAAGCTAACAGACAATGGGGAATGGGGCTCTCATTCTGTAAGTGTGCAAAAAAATTCCTTCATGAAGCTTTTTTCTCATTTGTAAATGTCTATGATTTCATCTAAGCAGAGAGCAAACACGGGCCAGATCCTGTGAGCGCATCTGAAGAAGCACAGCTTGCCTGGTACTGCGGGCAAAGCCACCGAGATCTCTGAGGGGCTGATCCCAAAGCAAATGATATAGATGCAAGACTTTGTATTGATTTCCCTGGGCTTTGAATCAAGTACTTTATGAAGTTAAATAGATTTATGCAAATCCTCACACCACAGTCACTCTGCATGATTGTAATTGAAATCTTCTACAACAGTTGTTTGCTCATGAGGGCACAAGATTATTCCCTGTTGCTCAGCAGAGCACGGGAGCAGTGTGTGTATATATGGGGGCAGGCAGGATGGGTATTTTATTCTCAAATGTGTGCTGAAGAGCTGGACTATGCCCAGCTTGTGCTCCGGGGTGACCTACCTGGTTGAAAAGCCAGCTGGCAGCACCAGAGTGGCTTGAGCGGCACTGGTACGAGCATGTCCACCTTGAGAGCAGCAGCTCTTTGGCTGCCCTTTGACCCAGCTGGCTGAGTTTGCTTGGTGCCCAGACCATGTGTAGACCAGCCTATTAGTTTATGCTGACACCTGGTTTCCACTATGCTACCATACTATAATTCCCAGAGCCATGCCAACAAAGTCCTACCATAAGTGACATTTTGCCAGAACAAAAAGGCTTTTTATTGGCATAGACAATAGCACGTGCTCTGTTTTCCATGGTGGTCTGCTTGTCCTCTTGAAGGATAAGCTGTATTCCCGAGCCAGCTCTGGTTGGCAGTGCCTGTTAGCTCAGGTGCAAGCCCCGCGCGACTCACGTTGGGAGGCAGGAGAGCTGGATGAGGAGGGGTGAGTGGCATGGGCTGAGAGGTAGATCCAAGGCTAGGGAAACGACTAGGGTGAGCTGGGAGATGTAGACAGCATCATCTGCACAGGAGATGATGCCATCTGAACTCTTTGTCTGGGATGTGCAAGTGTCTCCACTGACGATGAAGGTTTCTTAGATACCTGGCTGAAGTGTAGGCATGTGAGCTAGGTGAGATGACTTTTCTGGCTCTCCTTGAGGCTTTTGTCTGCATTGCAAATCCTGTCATGGCAGGTTCTCTGAGCCCAGTTTTCCAATTGCTGCAGCCTCTGCTTTCAGCGTGCTAGGCCTGCTGCACCAGAGTTGGTGTTGAGTATCTCTGCACCACACAATATGATGTTTGGTTCAATATGGTCCAGTTCTGCTGTTACCTGCAGTAACCCGGCTGTCCTCTGCCCCCCTGAATAGTAGCTATTTGGAGATACAATATACTGTATTTCCACTTCACTGAATTTTTCACGGAATCATTAAGGTTGGAAAGGACCTCTAAGATCATCAAGTCCAACTGTCAACCCAATTCCACCATGCCCACTAAACCATATCCTGAAGTGCTACATCTACACATTTTTTGAACACTTCCAGGCATGGTGACTCCACCACTCCCTGGGCAGCCTGTTCCAATGCTTGACCACTCTTAGTAAAGAAATTTTTCCTAATATCTAATCTAAACCTCCCCTGGCACAACTTGAGGCCATTTCCTCTTGTCCTATCACTAGCTATCTGGGAGAAGAGACCAACACCAACCTCACTACAATCTTCTTTCAGGTAGTTGTAGAGAGTGATAAGGTCTCTCCTGAACCTCCTTTTCTTCAGACTAAACAACCCCAGTTCCCTCAGCCTCTCCTCATAAGACTTGTGCTCCAGACCCTTCACCAGCTTTGTTACCCTTCTCTGGACATGCTCCAGCACCTCAACATCCTTCTTGTAGGACTATTTATCCTGGGTGAACAAAAACTGTTGTCCTGGAGGCCTGTACAGCACTGCTGTAAATCTCATTATCCTGGACCCTTATGCTGGTAGAGCTTGTCCCTCTTCTTGTGTGAAAATAAAACACCTTCAGGCCAGTATCACTGTATTGGCAGTAGGCATCTTGTACTGGACTAGTAGGTATGATACAGCTTTGCAGGTCAGGCAGGGTCTTGGTAAACCTGCTCCTTTTAACAAGTAGAGTGAAACTGTAGTTGCACAGGTGAGTTGAAGGCAGCAGGCACCAAGACTGCTACTGAAAGAAGTGATCCTGCCTTCCTCCGCCTCCGTATCCCAGCCATGGTGCCACCAACTCACCACCCTCCCTGTGCCAGCGTAGGTGTTGTGCTGAACTGTGCTGTGAAGACAAGTAGGTCAAAGCAGTTGGAAACCGGGTTGCTTTCTGCGTCTCGTCTGCTGTTCAGGGTCAGAAATGAGCAGGAGGGATGGGGCTGCTGCTGGGGACGTTCATGGTTTGTGCCTGGCTTACTGGTGGTGATGCTGTAGTGTAAGATGCAGGCAGAGCTGGATTTTTAAAGTCTATAAACAAAAGTCACTTGTGAGCCTGGATTTTTGAACTCTGGGTCATGTTTGGTTTCTTTATAAAAGTGTATCTCAAGGCTTTACGAACAAACTGGTTGACTATATCTGATCATGGAGCTAGAGACAAAAGCTCCTGAGTGCCAGGGGTAGCTGGATTAAGGCAGGAACAGCTTTTTCCGAGTTCTGCTTACAAGAAGGTCAGAAACAGCACTTGGTATTTTTCTGTAAAACTGTGGTTTTGAGATGCTTTTTTTAGAAAGCACACTTAGGCGCTCCTCAGAGATGTCTCTACAGCATCTGCCTGACTGTCTCCCTATTACTTCTTGACTCACTAAGCAGCTTAGGAAAAGCCAGGATTGCTTCTAGGAGGCAAGAAATCTGAGTAATGGAAGTAAGAATTAAAATAATTTCTTGGTGAGGGGATGTCTGCTAACTGTCCTGCGTGTTGTTGCAGGTAACTCTGAAATCGGGTAGCAATATATTGTACTGGAGAACAACAGGGATTCTCATGGGGTCCAAAGTAGTAAAACCAGTTCTGGTGAAAAACATCACAATTGAAGGTAAGTGATATGTACCTTTTAAATCTTATCTCCCTCTTTCATCACAGTGTTTGCAAAATGCCATTTCTACTGCTCCAAAGTGGCTTTTTTTTTAACTCTCTTGTCCCCTGTCTCCTTCTCTAAAATCTAGAAACAGAACAGCAAAGTTTCACACAGTTAGGGAAGGGATGAAAAATTAATTTAGCTGGTAAATAATGCCATCTACTGGAGAAGACTGGCTTAGCAAATAAAAGAGAGAAAAAGAAAGAAACAGGTTTTCTTTAATGTAGTGGCGTAGTGGAGGATTTCCCTGCCCATGGCAGGGGGGTTGGAACTAGATGATCTTTTGAGGTCCCTTCCAACCCTAACCATTCTATGATTCTACAAGCCTCGCAACAGTGATAAATGGATATATATATATATATCATAACAGTGACAGTTAAATTACTGTTTAAATAATGTAATTAGTCTGGGATTGCTCTTTTGGTCCTCTTCTAAGTGTATTCAAACTTGAAGTGTCATATAAGGTTCTTACCTGGGACAGACTTGCAGTGAGGAGCAAAGATTGAAGACCTAAATCATGAGACAGCAAAGCCAAAGTGTCTAAAGCGAAGACGAAGTCTGTGATTTTTAAGATGTGTTACTCAGCTCCTTGCTTTACTCCATAGCAGGTGGGCAGTAGTTATGGAGCATACCTCTCTGTATTTCCGTGCTTTATCTGTAATTTACCTTACAGGAGTTGCATATACGTCTGAATGCTTCGCATGCAAGCCTGGTACCTTCAGTGACAAACCAGGTTCATCTGGGTGCCAGGTGTGTCCAAGAAATACTTATTCTGAGAAAGGAGCCAAAGAGTGCACCAAATGTAAAGAAGAAATGTATTACTCAGGTACAGAAATAAAATGGGATAAGCAAAACCAGGAGAGTCTTGAGTACGGAAGGTCAAAAGCTGCTTCTGTGTGCAGATGTGAGAATGCTTTTATCGAACAATGAAGTTTAGTCTCCAATTGATCTGCAAAGGAAAAATGAAGATGGGGCTTCCCAAAAGCTGCAGAGGGAACGTACATACGTAATGGGCCATACTGGAGCTTGGCTAAGGTCACCTATGCTAACCTGAAGGGATGGAGATCTTTAGGACCTCGAAGGGAATGGTTCTTCTGAAGGATAAAAACAGTCGTGCTGTGCCCTCTCGTGGCAATTTGTGTTATCGGTTGGCGGTGACCTGAATTCACTTCATCACTTCCTCTAGACTTGTCCTATTCCTAGGAATCTCCTTTCCAAATCCTCTCCTGGCCTGTCCCTGTCTCCCCTGTGGTTGGAAGATGTGGTGATCTGGTTGCAAATCCTAGTCGCTAAAGACCTCTGCATTCCCAGCTGTGGTTAGCTGATGATCATCAAATAACACAGGCACAATCCATTTTTCAGTCAAAATGTCTTCAGTTTTCTTCCTTGTAGTTGTTTTGTAAGAAAGATTTCAAAGAATCAGTTACCAACCATAGCACCTACTATCACAGATTATGGCAAACGCTTGGGGACCTGTGCCTGTGCTCGTGGTGGGAATGGAAATTTTTGCAAAAATACCTGGGGAGAGGAAAAATTGGGCCAGTGTTGTTAAGGTTGTAAGCAAGTTTCAGATCGGCTAGAGCATTTTTGTTCCTTATCAAGTCAGAACATATTCCCATGCTTGGCAAACTGCACAAATTGCTGCTTGAAAGTGAAGAGGTGGGGTGGCGGTTTGGGTGACTTCCTGGTTGTACTGAATCAATGAATTTCAGCATAACAGTACAAGCACAGGTGATATTCTTCCTGTTCCCTTCCTTCAGTTCAGGGGAAGGTTCGTGTAGACTCCATTAAGGGTTTGATTTTCATTCTTGTTTTGTAATTTTCTGCTGACTCACTTTAATCTCCAGATTTTAAACTCACTACGGTTGTTTCCAGGGACCATTTGATAGTTTAACATCCTGTTCTTCACCCTTTCTTTTTAGATGAGGGATCCAGTGCATGTATAGAGCGTCCTCCATGCACAAACAAAGACTTTTTCCAGATCCATACCCCATGCGATAAGGAAGGAAAAGTAAGTAGAAGGCAAAATACTATTTTTAAGCTCATTGAGTTTACTGCGATCTTCTGATTTGAAAACAAGCTAGGATTTCTAGGAATCTCTTTCCCAATTGCTTCCCCAATTTTTGTCCAGCATTGAATCTCTCTGAGGCTTTGGGCTTGCCCTTTAGCTACTTTCTCTCCAGCATTTATCCATCTGTAAGGATCTACTGGTCATGAGTCTGCTTAAGAGACCTGTCATTGTGAAACGCTAAGCTCCTTGCACTTGTGATTAGTCTGACTGGGTCACGGGTGCTACCTCTGTGCTCGTAAAAAAAACGAGTTGGAGCACAGGCTGAAGTACTGTCCCAGAATAAACCCTACTGTTTAGTTGTTAGCAATCTTTCCTGGCATACTTTTGGCTTGTGACAACTTGCCCTGTCCCAGCAATGCCCAGGCGTGATTCAAGTGCTGCCATGGCACAGGAGCATGAGCATACCTATTGCAGGCGGAAG